CTTAGTGCCTGCCTGCTGGAGAAAATCAAAGTTAAAGACGCAAAGCCCTGGGATGCCAAGGACACAGTTACCTGGACAGTATTTGTGACTACTTGAAATCAACATGCTCCTGAAATATTGATTCCCGCCCCCCCCTTTATGTAATGTTAAGGGTTATTTATTCATTCACCTGCTTCTAGCTGTTCCTTACTAAAGGTTAAGTGGTTGTGAAATCACAGGCACTGGAGAATCAAAAGCTGTTATTTTAAGCTCTTAGCCAAGTAGTGGTACCTTGGAGCTTGCCTCTGACAAGCTTCACTGGCAGCTGAGGGTGGGCTGTCTTTGACCATCTGGAGGTTTTAATGTGCTCCATCCATCTCAGGCCAACCTGACTTGCCAGAGTTAGGGTCACTGTGCTCTCAGACTCTGGAAGATGAACTCAAGGGAGCTGTGCTCTGAGCCCCCTGGGCCCCCTGCAGGTACATTTGCTTTTTCTGTTCAATGCTATTTTTCTTACCTTCTGTAGGCTCTCACTTGCAGAACTATTATTACTTGCTTGTTACTGCTGACTCATACTCATCGGAAAAAATAATTTTGTCTTCAACACCTCTTCCCTGTCATTTAAGGCATATGTTAATGAAAGACAAATTTTGGCATCTACTCTCTGTAGCTCTGAGGCCACGATATAGATTCATGAAGATGCAACTGTTATTTTACTTCTATTTATATTTATAACTACACCAAAGACATCTTGCAGGTACCTTTGTGCCTCTCAAATCCCAAACCATATTCCAAGAAATGCTCAACATTTCATGCTTGAATTGGCATTAATGTGGCATTAATGCACATACAATGTTTTAAATAAAGATGTTTTCACTCAGGTTTTATTACTGACACCTCCCGACTTCACGTATTTTAAATGATGATAGAACCGAATCCTTTTGAGGACAGTGTAAGGGCTCTCCCCTCACCTTCCAGTGTAGAATGGCCTTTTCTGTGAGGAGTATACAAGCGATGAGTGCTCTGCTAGGAGGGCTGCCAAGTCCAAAGGCGAAGCCTGGGGGGAGGGGGAGGGCAAGAGCAGCACTGAGCATATGCAGAATGCTGAAAAGAACTGATTGAAAGCATTTAGCTTTGTCATTCCTCTCGGTTCCTTTTCCTTCCCTTCTTTTCCAATTTTTAACTGTAGACAAGGGCAACCTACTTATTTCATAAAATGATCTAGAATGAGCCGTGACCTTGAAGGTTGTCTGACCCAAACCCTCATCCGTTGCAATAGCTGTCTGCTTCATTCAGGAGCTCTTTCTTCTCCAACACCTTCCCCAGCAGCACCTGAGCCTATCACTTCCAAGTGCAGTGATGTGAGTAGAGGTTTGGGAATCAGACAATTCTGAGTCCTCATTTTGGCTCTACCACTCAGTAGCTCTGACTTCCTGGGCAAGTGACCTAACACCTCAGAATCCAGTCTGATCTGGTAAATGGCTGCATGGCAGCTTGAGGATTAAATGAAGTACAGTGTACAATATAACCAAGACTAAGCACTCACAGACAAGTGGAAAGTTGCTAAGCAGATCAGTAGGAACTAGGACCCATGACTTCCTGTCTGACTCTTAGGCAATACTTTTTCCATAACATCACTCTCATTCTCACAATGTCTCATAAAACCATTGAAAAAGTATTGTTGAGTACTGTGTCTGCTACCTTGTAGATTGTGAATGCTGTTATTAATAACAATACCTCACATATATATTTCGTGCTCTAGAATTTACAATGCACTTTCACAAGTGGGGAAAATAGCTCCAACAACATGCAGTCTACTGATGACTAACAGAGGCAAGAGGGAGGAGCTGCAGCTTTGAAAGAGGTCTATTAACTATGCAAATGTGAAGTTCTCTGCACTTGTGAGGAGCATAATAAACATCAGAACCAATTAGAAGTAACAATGCATGATATATTCAGGTTTCAGAACTCTGATGAGTTGGAAAGCCATAGGAATATAGCATAGAAGGTTTAGGGCAAGATTTTAACTTACCTGAAGTTTACCAATCCAGATGGTTCAGACAGCTTTATGTTTTGCTCTCACAAAGGCAGCTATCTGCAGATGGGTGAATTTTCATGTACAAACTAGAGTACAGCAATGATTTAGAATTACATAATGGTAGAAATCAAGATGTGTTCACAATTTGGAGACAAAGCATATGGAACTGAAACAAGCAAAGCAAGTAAGTTCTCAGAAGTCAGTGTTAACTGGATGTTTCAATGCAGACAAATGTGACATACTAAATGTAAAACTTATAATAATAGAAACTGTTATCTCGACATTCTCACAACTTTCTGAAGCAGTTAGTTCTTCATGTGAGAATTTTTACATTTGGACAATGCTCAAAAGTTAATTTTTAGAAATAGAGAAAAAAATGGAGGTGTATTTTAACATATTTCATTGTTTCCATAATGTTAGAAGATGAAAGAAAATTTTCTGTTAGAAAATGGTCTTGCTGAAATTCAGCTCCCTCATATGATGATGACGACGATGACGACGATGATGATGTGGTGTATGTGTGTGTGACTGGGGACTGAATCCAGGATGTTCTCCCTGAGGTACATGCTCAGTTCTTTTTCCATTGTTTTATTTTGAGACAGGGTCTCCACTAAGTTGCTAAATTGCCCAGGTTAGGCTTGAACTTGCAGTTCTCTTGCCTCAGTCTCCCAGAGTGCTGGGATTACAGTTGTATGCCATCACACCTAGCTAGAAGAAGAATTTCTAAATATCAGACTCTGCCTAACCAAATGATCTAGCTTTATAAATTGGAGGGGGAAATTAGAATTGCACGCAGTTATCAAATATTTTAAGTTAATGCCCAAACATACATTTGCAACACTGCATAATTTCTTAATATTGACATAAATTCTTAATATTCCAGATAGGCCCCTTTCCATTCTCCACACAACCTATGCCTTTTTTGGTTGTTGCTGTTGTTGTTCGGCAGCAGACGCTAAGGATGAGGTTGACACAGGTAGGGCAGGAGACAGAAGGACTGACTGGACAAGAGGATGTGGGAAAAGGAAGGCCCTACTGTACAGCCATGTAGAATAGGAGGTCTACGCTGGACAGAGCCCAAGGCAGCTCAGTTTGTGTCTCACAGTCCAAATTTGGTTGATGTATTTTTGAAGCTTCTAAAGGTTAACTCACATGCTGTAATATAGTATGGAAAGACATGAAGCTGAATTTTACTGTGCCAGTCAAGAGGCTGGCTTGAATCTCCTATTTAGAACTGAGAGAGACAGTACAATTTACATGTGTGAGAATGTGAGAATAATTTTACCTTCTGTTGTTTTTAAAACCACCTTGGGCCATGATTTTTAAGTGGAGACACAAGAAGATCTGCTGGGGTTCCCATAGCAACATTAACTTATCTAAACTGCCCTTGTTGTATGCAATACTTTCATAACGAGTTTGGCTTTTAAATGCACAGTTTAATTATGAAATAAAACTAAGTTAAGCATCTCAAGCAAATTTTGACTTTTACATTTACTGATGTATGCATATTTAAATAGAAACCTTGATAACGGTATTTCTAAGGACTTGCCACCAAGGCAAGTTTATGCAAAATCTTTCTGTGGTCTTCCTTGCTACTGACTCTGATCTTACTCCATTCCATTCTGCAGACAACTCTTCAACAAATCCTCCAAGTACATTCATGAATGTACTTACCATGGTAAGGATGAAACAGAAACCAACCAACCTCAGATGGCTCCAGGTGAAACTAGAAGTCAATATACCTACTACTGTCAGCTGTTAACAAGCTGACTCTCCCTGTCCATGTCTTTTCTGCTATTCCTCATCATAACCTTATCATTAACATCCCATTCCACACAGACTCATCGTCTCACAATATTCTGAGAACAGAAGGTCAAGGGCTAGCCTGCAGCCTACCTCCTTCCAGAAGCCTGATTCTTCCCTATTCTTTTTTCACAGCTGCTCTCTCTCTTTAGAACTATGACTATTGTTATCATCACTGTACAATGTTTTGATGGAGAAAAAGCAGCCTTCCTCCTCCTCTTTTCTGCTAACAGTGACTTGATTTTCCTCTGAGGAACCTTCTTCAACCCATCCTGTCTGGTGACACCATCAATTAAGCTTCCCTGCCTCAACCTGTCAAGTGACGAACCCACGACTTAAGTTGGATTGATTACATCCCTCCAGAAAACTGAATTTCAAGTGATTCAAAAAGGAGAAACAGTTGAAATTAAATTATTCCATTGGTGGTCCTTTCAAGAAAGTTCCCCTTTTTTCCAGAATTCTGTGACTCACAATCAAAGTCCACTAATTAGTAAGTTCCCCATTTGAGTATTTATTCATATGTTATTTTATGTCATGATTTTATGGCTTGCCAGTTTAACTCTACTTATGCTCACTGAAGACAGGACTGGGTCTTCACTGATTGTATTATTCCATGTAATTCAGCACAATGTAAGTACTCGGGAGATTTTGGATAATGAAAGACCAACCTTAGAAACTCCATTTTTTAAAAAAACAAACTGCAGTTTGTAAGCCAAAATATGTCCTTATTGAAGTAATGCAATGGTGTAAGTCAATTTCTAATTGCTACAGGAATTTTCTTGAGTATGACGGTTGTCCTAAAGAGAACTTACAGTTTAAATATCTAATAATAGCCTGAAAGTAATGCTAGCATGGGCCATACTTCCCTAATTTTAGGAAAGAAACTAAAAGTGTATTTCAGATATTAATCCCTGAAATAAAGAAACACATGTTTTGGGGAAAACAGACAAAAAACAATACACTTCAATCTTGGGCTTGTAACTTTCCCTAGAAACAAGGCCTACTGCCTCTCTGCTGTTAGGTGACAATGGCGGAGAGTTCAACTGTTTGTGAAATGCTTTAAAGAAGATGATAAATGTGTATATAAATAAAGATTTTTTTCTACTTCTAAAATGTAGTAGGCTATGGTTTCTCAAAAGTATGTCATTTATATCAGTAATCTAATTGAATGCTTATAAAATTCAAAGAACAAACAAGATGTTTAGATGTAATAAACCCACACAAGCTTGCACATATCAACTTTTGAAGATACAATAAAATGGTACACTTGTTCAGATCAACTTACATGCACTTAAAATGCACAAAGAGCTCACCCAAGATACAATACCAAGAAATACAAATTCTCTTTTCTTCTCATTGTCTTTTGAGAAACAAAAGATTTTCAGGAATCTTTAAAGGGCAGAGTCCTCTGGTTTTATGTCTTAGCATGGTACATATTTCAGTCATGAGAAAGGAGTGGAAAATAGCAATTTGGAACTATTTTGAGTCCAGTGCGATGGTTTTTGGAATTTTCCTTGAACCCACACTCGATGCATTTTCACTTGCTTTTTCCTATTAACCTGTAAGCGACGATCAACCAGATTTTGCTTTTCATCTAATCCGGCCTTGCAGAACATACGGTGGACTTCCCCTTTGAGACAAAAATGGCAGTCAAAGACAGGACATGTGACTGAGGGTGGGGGAGGTAAGGAGCAATGGAATACTGATGGAATGATTAAACATGCAAATTTCATTTATACAAAGAAACAATGCCTAACGCAACTGGGTGAAGGAAACCTCTGAAACCAAGTGTGTTTCTCTCAGACACAAACGTATACCAAGCATAAACAGGCCAACACAGCAGGCATTAGGCAGCTATGCAAAAACTACTGGCCTTTTAAAAGATGCCTCTTTTTTGAGTTTTTGCTGGTTTATGGAGACCCCAAATGGTACATTATAAAAGTGGAAATCTTTGAATGCAGGATTCATTTGGTATTGTCAGAAATACTTTTTTGAAAATGAGAAATTGACTAGAGATAAGTAATTTTCTGTACAGTTAGACGATTCCCTCATTTGGCTATGTTATATTATCAATTTTTTTGTCTAGCAACATCTCCAAAATTTTATTCTGTACTTTCACATGAGTATGAGAGTGGGACAAGTGACTCTTTAAAGCAGTTTTAACTGGAAAAAGATTAAAAGCCAAGAAGGCCATTTTCAAATTTTTATGTAGATTACAAGCACCAAAGTATGAAGACATTTGATGTTTAATCAACTGCTGAAGTCTCATTTTTATAGCTTTTGAGTTTCTCTTCACAAATACTAACCAAAGAGAGTTTTCACAGCTAATGATATCCTTTTATAGATTAGCATACCTTTCGTAAAGAAATATGCTCGGGTACCATCTCCTCGAACATAAAAATTTTCAGATAAACAATGCCCTAAAAAATAATAAGTGAAAAAAACCTTGGTATTCCTTAACAAACAATAAAAATCCAAGCAACTTGACATGAAATATAAACAAGGCATTCTTTAAACACATGAAAATAACCCCAAAGTGAATATACTATTACCCTTTTTGAAACGAAGCTGAGTGTTATCATATCTTCCATAGTCCCGAAAGAGCAGCATTCCCCCGGGCTTCAGCAACTTAGACAGTCGGTTGACAACACCTTGCATCCTTTGAAAACAAAGTAAGATAGCTTCTTTGTGGAGATCTTGTTTGATAGGGCAGATTGAACCTTCTTGGGACACAATAGAAAAGGCTCAATAAGGCCAAAGAAATCTAAACCATAAATGGAAGGGCAACAAAAACAAAAATATTTTGTAAAGAAGGAAAAAAAAAGACATCAACTTGCTAAATGACGACGTTCAGAAGGTTTAGCGTTTCAGGAAATCACCCAAATGATAGGCCTGGGCACTTAACAGAGTTTGAAGTATGGCATCAAAAGCTGAACTACAAAAACGATGTTTCTTGATATTTACAGCAAACCACCATGGTGCTGAGGGAGACTTAAAATAAATGAAGGTGCTTCATGTTCCTTGCAAAACAAAAACTATGTCAGAGGTACCCAAAATGGTACATATCAAATTGGGGATCATCCTTCCTCCAAATTAGCTCATTCTCCCTCTGATTTGTTTAGTTCAAAGATACCCTTATTCACCTCAGGAAGAAGAGATGACTTTTTTCTTCCTCCGTCCTCTCCATGTGGACATCAAATTTTATGTCCTCTCTCTTCTTTTTTTCCTTTTATGCCATCTTTGATATTGTCTCGCTCTTGTGTTTCCCACTGGTACTTTCTTAGTACAAATCCCTAGCTCCCGAGGCCTAGAAACAGAATTGCTTTCCAGCATTCTTTGTTATTCTTCCGCCAGTTCTTCTGGCATATTACCAATGAGTTATTCTGCTTAAAATGATGGTTTTGTCAAATCACCTCCTTGCTCAAAAACTTTCATGACTTCAATCCATAGAGCAAAATTTTATTTAATAGATTTCTTAAGATTACTCCTGACACCACTAAATCCTTCCAATGTCTTTTTCTCTACTTCTCATCCTAAATACCTTTTCTAGCCCAACTGTTAAGTGCTTGGGTCTGCGTAGCCTATGTCTTTGCTTACAGGTTTCCTCTCAAAGAAATCTTTTCCCCTGACTTTCTTCCTATTTAAATTTTATTCACATATCAATTCCCAGCTCAATACCAGGAAGCCTTTACTTTCTTCCTTTTACCATTTATTCTTACTTATATGGCTTGCCGTCAAATACAACCTCTTAGAACGGTCTTTGATTTGGTATTTTTGATTACAAGTTCATGGCCTTGTGTGATTAAGGGCCAGAGTAGCAAAGATGTAGTTCTCATATCAATGCTGAGTGACTGGCATTAGCTGCCTACAGAGCTTTAATGAGGAGGGCGCTCGCAGCTCTTTGGGAATGACAGAGTACAAAATTGATTATCAATGTCTGCCACAAGCAGAGAACTGTAAACGGCAGTTCGTGCACTAAGTCCGTGATCTCTTTGTTTTATCCAACCTACTTAAAGCTGCTGACCTTTTCTTATTTTGAAAACCAGGAGTTTAAATTAGATAATGTGTAAATTCCTTCCAATTAAAACACTATTTGGTGGAATAGTGGGGTGGAAGCCATATTATGTCACATTATGAAGGAAGTACAGATAGTGAGAAAATGAAAGCAAGAAAGAAATATGGCAGAGATAGTATGAGTATGTAAAAGGTTCTTTTTGAAAACTGGGACATAAATAAAAGGGAAAAGGGAAAGTATTTTATCCTTGTTTATTACAGATTATAGTCACACTGCTTATATCCTTAGGCTTTGGCAATAAAGAAAACCATATTTAAACCTTAAAATCATTACTTTCAGGACAAATTTTATGTACAGAGCAACATCTCTGTAATTATAAGCTAAACACAAATGAAACCAAAATACAGAAAAATAAAGAGCCAAGTACTTCAAAATGTAGCCAGCTCCCTCTCCAAGTCCCTTCCTCCAACTATCCTTTAATGTCTGGATTTGTGGACAAAGGAAAGGTGCAGGGAGCCGCTTTTCTTGATTGTTCCTGTCCTGTTTCAGAACATAGTTCCAGAGCTGGTAACTGAGACCTGCAGGGTGGACTGGGCTGGGGACAAGGTGGGCAAGATAAGGCTAAAGCTCCTTTTCTTTCTTCTTGGCTGACTGTGCTGTCCTCACCTACCTCTGGATGGAGGCAGATGAAGGGAGAAAGAAGAGATTTTAAAAAGGAGTATTTGTTGACTGTCTACGTTTGGATTTACAGTAAGTACTTTATACTTTATTTCAATGAGAAGAACAGTTAGCTTTTCTTTTATAGCCTCCTACATCTTATTGCCATGTAGGCCGGAACTCCCACAGTCAGGGTCTAAATTCCTTGCCAATTATTTGAATCTAGATTTTCCAAGCTGCCAAAAAGCTACTTTTCTAGAACTTTCCTGGGGGGCAATCCACTACTATAGTCCTAAATGATCCTATAGACACTGCCTTGCCTTTTTACTTATTGTTGGCTGCCTTCTACTCATTCATTTTAATTTAATTTGTTTATTTATTTAGAGATGGGATCTCACTAAGTTGCTCAAGCTGTTCTCAAATTCCTGGGCTCTAGTGATTCTCTTGCCTCCGCCTCCTGAGAGGCTTGAACTACAGGTGCATGACACCACACTCATTATCATTCACCTTATTTTTAGATTATTTCCACATAAGTAAGAAAGTGGTATTAACATGATAAATCTGAATTTATTTCATAATAAACAGAATGAAATACTGTATTATAAAAGCAATCTTCCTAAGACATCTGTTTCCCCTTCTCTTTAACATTCAATTTAAATCATGAGAAAATACGTTATCTAAATTAATTTCAAATAGCCTTTTTGCAGTCTTATTTAGAATTTGTACATTTCCTGTTATGGGTGCCAAATAGGAAATCTTGTTCTTTATCCACCTACACCATCCTTTTAACTATTCATATAAGGAAACAAAATACAAATAGATTAATAGATTAGCAGAAAAGAAACTGAGAGGAAAAAGTAGTTTCATGGTACCTGATATGTTACAAATATAAACTTGTTTTGGATTTATTTGGAAACCTAACGTTCTCCACAGCAAAATGCTAATCTCTGAATAGGATGTAAAAAGAAGGGTCTTGATGACTTCATAATTGCAAAGGAAGAAACACATGGTAACTTAGCTTCTGTGGGAAAGGGTCACACTCAAAAATAAATTATTGATCCAGGTCTGAATCCCCTACAGGGGATTATGAAAACTCAATTTTAAGAAACTTTGTAAAAGCACATACTGACACCATACACAGGCTTTAATACAGAGAAGGTGGCAATATTTTGAGGACGATGACCACTTTAATAGCTTTTAACCACTTTAACATCTGTTTGTTTCCTCTCTAAAGAAAAGCTGCCTTTATAGTTTTTTGTTTGTTTGCTGGTACTGGGAATTGAACTCAGGGCCTTATGTTTGCCAGGCAGGCGCTGTACTGCTGAGCTACACCCCTGGCTGCCTTTACAGTTTTAAAACATTGTGCAAACTTAAATTTTTAAGTCACAAATATTTAGGGGGGTTGGAGGTGTAGCTCAGTGGTACAGTACTTGTCTAGCATGCACAAGGCCCTGGATTTATTCCTTAACACACAAACACACACACACACACACACACACACACACACATCCCATATATATTTTCTGCCAAAAATTGTATACATCAGCAAAACAAAAGCTTGTATAAATATTTTAATACTAAATTTATTAAGACATCCTGAGATTAATACAAGTTACATTTGGCCTCTGCAATTACAAGAGATGCTCAAAGTGGTGGCCATTAGCTTTCAGACATTTATTAGTAAAGCGAACTGCTGTACTACTGTACATTTTTTTGGTGGACTCTGTATACAAGTGATGGCACTAGGCCCACCTTAGATCATAAAGGCACAAGGATAATCTGGTAAATTGCTATAACCCCTAATTTCTTACTGGGCTTCTCTAAAACAAAAATTTTAAAACCCATCAAAACAGACCTATGTGATGTTGAACAGATCCATAGCCCACCTTCATGAACATTCGGGAAGATGCTAAATCAAAGATGTTTGTTTCTGATCACCAAGTACAATTTCCCTCTTGGGAGTCTATTAGGCTGCTATGAATTTGTAATTTTCTTGAAGCACTGTCACTTTTAATAGGTATGTGTCTATGCTCACTTCATTCTGACAGTGACAGAAAGCTCGCTAATGAAGTAGTTTGACCAGTTTCTTTCTTAAAGTCTGAAGAAAAGAAAAACTGCATTTAAAAGGCTGCATATTATACATAATGTAGTTCACTAAATAATAAATTCAAGAATTGTCATTTTTACTTTGATAGCTCTAAAAACCACTACTGATAAAGGAGCTTCACTCATCTGCTTTGCCCTTTCATCTTCATTTACCTGTCAGGATGAATAGAAGAGAGCACAAAGACGAGGAGAACGACATCCAGGATCCCGTCTGGGAAAGGGTATGGTGAACTATCATCACACACATCGTGAACAAAGGCAGAACACTGGGCGGCTCTGTAGGACGATTGTGACTGTCATTATCAAGGAACACAAAGCCAAAAAAAGGAGTTAGCCGAATTCCCAGATTTTTTAACATAAAAAGGTCAAATTTTTTACTTTTCCTCCCAAGAGCCTGTCCTCTAAATCTAAATGTACTTTATTTCCAGTTCATTATTCTTTAGCTTCATTCAGGCTGCCGTAAAAATGAAGTCTAACACTTAGACCCGGTGACAAATATTCTTTACAGTCCCCGTGCAGACTGAGAAGCTGAGTAGGGTAGCTGTGCAAGTCAGAGGCGGGGCCACTGCCTACCCTGCCTGGTTTCAGAGCTGCTGCCGCAGTCCTTGATTCTCCCACTGCTTTCTTCACATCACCTTTGCTTCAAAATACAAATGCCTTACGCTACATAATCAAAATGGTTGCACAACTATGCAAATATATTAAATGAGATGGTATGTGAACTGTTTCAATAAGGCTATAATTTCAAAAATTGCATTAAAGTAACAACACACAATTTATCTACAGAAACATCAGAAGAAAATATATCAACACATTAACATTGATTCACCCTAAGAAGTGTGATTACAGGTCTATTTTTCTTTCTCTTTAGGCTTTTTATTATTTTGAAAAATATATGCAATGAATCACTCTTATTATCAGAAATTAAAATTGTACTTAATTTTTAAAAAGTTTTACTTAATTTATGTATTTACCATACATTTTCCATTTGCTAAAATTGTCTTTTCTGGCAATGCTCACGAGCATTCAAGATTTGTGCAACAAATCCAGGTTTTGCACTGTTTTCCTTATAGTCTAAAACATTTTAAATTTGCATCAAATGTTTTCCCAGATTATTTTTCTGCAGTACTGGGGACTGAACCCAAGGCCTTCACACTGACCTACACCTCCAGCGCTTATGTATTTTTTGAGAAAGGGAACAGCTAAGCCACCAAGTTGCCCAGTGTGGGGCTCAAAGTTGAGATCCTCCTGACTCAGCCTCTCAGAGTGCCAGGATTGCAAGTTGGACACTACCACGCACAGCTTCCCAGATTTGTTTTGTTTTTTGAGATAGGGTCTCGCTACAGAGTCCAGGCTAGCCTTGAATTTACTATGTAGCCTAGGCTGGCCTCAAACTTGTGGTGATCTTCCTGCCTTCAGCCTCCTAAGTGCCTCAGATTTTCTTATTTTGGAAATTTTAATTTAGGGCCGGGGATTTATCTCAGTGGTGCTGCCACCTGCCTCGCAAGCACAAGGTCCCAAGTTCGATCCCCGGTACCAAAAAAAAATTTTTAATTTAATGAGTGTTTACCATGTTCAGACAATGTGTAAGGCTTTAGAGATCCAAATATGAATAAGATCTTCTTATAGGACTTAATTAAAAATTTAATTTTGGGGGGTGGGAGTTTTTTACCCATCTAAAAATCCTAATTTTAACTTAAACAAGCTGTTTGGAGCAAGGGTACCCATGGGCAGGTGTAGAGTCTGAATTTTGTATGTAAGTACCTTCCTCTTCATCCCTGTACAGTGCTGGCCTTTCTAGGTTTACTAATCCCTCGAGAACACTAATATCCAAAACAACTGCTGTTGTTTTAGTGCATCAGTTGCTGCTGATATTCTTAGAAATTGTAAAAGTTCAGTTAAAAATGGCTACCAATAACATTCGATCCAGAAATATTTCAAAATAATCAGTTTAAAAGCAAATGAATTATTTTCATACAGATTCTCTTGAAAGGAAATATGAGGCATACCTTTATAAGCTCCACAGCTCCAGAGGCAAAATCACAACAATAAAGAAAGGATTCTGGAATGTTCCTGTGAAAATGGAAGAAAGATTTAAATCTAGAGTTCAGACTTGTTCAAATTAGAGAAAAAAGGGAACTGTAGATATGAGTTGTTGGTAAGAATTTCTTTGGTAGAATTTTGGACACTGCCTTCTTTTGAGCATTGTTTCCTGGGCTGGTGCATGTGTACTCTTCTGAACCAGTGCTTGTCTCCATCACTTCCTAATTATAGGTGACTCCAGCCCTAATTTTAAGGCCCTCCTTTACTTGGTCCTTTCTGCCTTGTATCACATCACACTCCCACGAGAGAGATCTCCAAGGCCATCCTTCCTCACTACTCCATTGGCCTCCTTTCTTAGAAAGGATCTCTGCCTCCCCCAAGCTGTCCTGCAGCCCTCTTAGCCTAACTAAACTCTACTCTTCTCCGAGGACTCTCTGATCCCTGTGTTCCTTCATTCCTCTTTCTTTCTGTCCAACTCATTTGGTTCTTACGCCTTTCACAGAGGCTCTGCTGCTCTGGTAGGGAAGACACACACACTTACACACTTATGAGGGATCACTATGTTTGTGGTCTAGGCTGGACTTGAACGCCTGAGCTCAAGGAATCCTCCTGTCTTAACCTCCCAAATATCTGGCACTATAGGCATGGACCACTGCACCCAGCCCACATATATTTTTTTATTAGAATACAAAGTAGTAAATAAAATTGTCTAATAAATAGTAAGAGTACAGAACAAATAGATCTGTTTTGGAAACCTGGATTTGACTTTTATTAACTCTGTGAATTTGACTTAACTTCTCTAAGACTCAGTTGCTTTATTTACAATATGTACCTAAATTCAATTTTGTTTTGCAGGGGAGTGTTTATTCATATGAAAATCTTAACTAATTTTAATTAGTTTCTTCCAAAATTAAACATGCTTTGTTTGGTCTTTACTTGGAATTTGGTAACAGTGCTGGTCCCTGGTTATTCATGGGCAGGCACATGCTTTCAGTTCTGTGGTCCGTGTCTTTCCTGATCATTCTCTGTATGCTGCTATCAAGTAACCCTATCATGTCGCACAGAATCATGTCTGAATCACACAAAACGTTCAGGAGTTTAAGTATGGTCCTGGTAGTTTAAGTATGGTCCTGACTCTTGTGGATTTTATGGTCACCTTGAGAACATGCTTAGTTTTATACAACTTTTATAAGGGTGTGGAGAAGGACAGCACCCTAAAAGGTAAGTCCTCAAAGTTTTGAAGGGGAAGATGGGACTGCCAAGTGAGGGGAAGAAGCATAAGGGATTAGAGGTGAGAGTCACGAGCCAGCAGTGAGAAGCAGAGCTGACTCTGAGAGGTCACAGTGGTATGTGGCAGGACATACAGCAGGCCTTGAGGCACAAAATTAGGACCTCTAATTTGAGTCAAGAGGCATTTCAAGCAATGTGGACTTCTAAATAAATATCCAATATAAACACAAATATGATTTAACAAAATCTCACCTAGGATTTTAAAGGCAACTCATTGATGAATACTATGTTCACATATACTTCATTCATTCTGTGGCCAGAGGGACTTGCATTCGATTTAAGACCTGTCTAAACAAGTTACAGTATGAATAGGACTTAGATATGAAAAATTAACCATTAAAAACTTGGACTGCTTGATCTTTTTTCATCAGTCTCATTAAAACCAGTACTTTATACCCCTGCTGTTTCCCATGGTCCACATATAACTGTGACTTGTAATTTGCTGAGTGGCCACATGTGTTTGAAATGTTCTCACTTACCACTCAGGTGTGCAGAGCATTACGTGCATAATGGCTAAGGACAGGGCTCTGCAAACAGACTGCTGAAGGTTTGATTCCTGGCTCTACCATTTAGTTGTGTGACTGAGAGAAAATTACTCTCTCTTGTACTTCTGTTTCCTTGTTTTTAAAATACAGAAATACATAGCACCTAAGGTGGTTGTTAGGACTGAATGAATTCACATAGTAAAGTTTCTAGAAAGTTGCCTGACTCACAGTAAGCACTCAATAAATGTTAGTTCATTTTTATAACTTACTATTCCTATTGAAGGAGATCTGCCTCTGCCTTCCAGCAACTTAAAAACTTACATGTCCTCTAAAAGCCCTGTATGTAACTCAGAATGCTTTTATGGACCCTGCTACATGTAGCTCATTATAAAAAGTTTGCAGTTTACCTCTGGGTAGTTACTGAATACAAACCAGACCATGAGCAGTCTAATAAGGAAAGCATGTGCCATGTTCCATGTGTCCTGCCAGGGTGGCAGAATGACCTCTGAGACAGAGTTCCCACTGCATCAGCAGACCACGTTGAAGTCTTATGACCACCCAATGACTTTCCAGAGCCTTTCTGTAAAATCAGCTGACTGCCTTGGCCCTTTTCCCAGCAAACAGGTGTAAATACCACTACTACCACCACACCACCAAACACTCTCCTGGCAGGGGGTTTGAGAATTAAATGATCCTTGGAGAATGATCTGACCTCTCCATTCCAGAGGCCTAATTATGGTAAAATATTCTGAAAATGTAAAAATATTAATGTTATACTCTCCAAAAGCAATAAAACATAATTTCTTGAGTGGGAAAAAGTCTATTTCTCCATTTGTAAGGCCAATCACTGGTTGCTTTTTAAAGTGAATTAATTATCTTAGGCTATTGGTCTCCTATGATTTCTAAAACATGACAAAAAAAGACACAAGTCAAGAAGAAAGTCAGAAGTGAGAAGCCAAGAGCTTACATTATTAGTTGGAGGGAGAAGTAGAGAAGGAAAAATACAACTAACAAGTGAGCAATCAGAGATTAAACAGCCAATGCAGTTTGATCTGTAACTATCTATGTTATACTGGTCAGCAACCTGGAAAATCAGATTAGGATAAAATATGCTCTCTGCCTCAATGAATATAAGAAGTGGCAAAGAATAAAGAAATGACATGCTAAACAATACCTTGAGATTAGTCACAAAGTAACATGTAACAATTGCCAATGTAGGTATGCATGTATACTAGAAGTTCATTTATCACTGGGGTGAAGGAACCTGGCTATGTGGTATAAGGGAACAGAAAATTTTAGCTCAGAAACTGGGAAAGGGAAAATGAAGATAAAAAACATCGAAAAAGAAAGGCCATTCAGAACTGTAAACCTCATCTGGGCCTGGATACTTTAATTGGTTATTAGAAAATATTACAGAATCATTGCTTGTTACGTTAGGTTTATAAAAGTATCGGAGGATGTTCTGATATTCTGGAGATGATTCCTGTATAATCAAAGATAAAGTGTCACGATGCTGACATTATGTCAAAAAATTGTTGACTCAAGGTGGAGGGCTTATGGAAACTTTTTTTTTTTTCTTTAGACAGGATCTCGCTATGTAGTTCAGACTGTCCTTAAACTCACTATGTAGCCCAGGCTGACCTTGAACTTGTGGTGATTCTCCTGCCTCAGCCTCACAAGTGCTGGGATTACAGGCATGAGCCACCATGCCCAGAAATTTATGGAAATTTATTATTCTATCTTTGTTTTTTCAAATGCATTTACATGAAAAACTTAAAAGATCACATAATTACATTAAAAATTTGCAAAGAGAATGAAAATTCCATCAGTGGCTAGGTTAGGGTAAGGAGAATAATGGGTAATTTTCCCACCACCCCTTTCCTCCAGTGGAAGTGTTCTGCAATGTGCTCATGCTGATTTTATAATGGAAAAATGATGTGAAAGCTATCGTGTAAACTTACAAAAAGAAAAGAATCTGACCTATCAGCATAGGTAAAAGTTGTTTGGAGAGTTTTGTGAGGTGTGTCATTTTCATCATGGAAATTCTAAAACACAGAGGTGAGATGGTGAACAGGAAGTGCCTATCAGGAAAACATCACTTACTTCAACTCTTTTGAGTCTTAGGGTTAATTTCTGCCAATTCTAAACAATTTCAAGCCTAGATACAATGATCTGACACTCAAAGGTCTGTTTTGTTTGTTTTTTTTGAAACAGGGTCTCCCTATGTAGTTCAGGCTGGCCTTGAATTCACTATGGAGCCTAGGCCAGCCTGGGACTGTCAGGCAGCCTCCTGCCTCAGCCTCTCAAGTGGTGGGATTATAGGTGGGTACCACCTTGCCCAGAGGCAAAGGTCTTATACTAGGTGCTACTCCAGAAATGATGACAAAATAAAATGAGGATTAAGATGTAAGCCTTAAACTCAGTTTTCCATGTGTAAAATGATATGTAAGTATGCAGGAGGAACAAACAGCCTCTGAAATTGGGCAACTCACAGCTTAATGAAAGGATGAAATCTCTTATTCTTTTACCCTTAAACACAACCTTAAAAAAGTACTTGAATCTCAAGGTGGGTAACCCATGGCTGTGAAGCACTATCTTCACATGAAATTAGCACTCAGACTGAGATGCTTCTTTTGAAATGTGCTTTAGTCATTGTTTATATGGGAATTAAAAACCCTACTGGCATATACATGATAACGCATTTCCAAAATTTCTCAACATCCCTTCAATATGTACAACTATGTAGGAGACAACACTGAAACTTACTGCAAGGTGTTCAAAATTGGAAAAACACTATTTCCAGCACCACAGCCAACCTAAAACCAAGAGATTAAACAAATATCATGAATGCATTAAATTTTCCTCACAATGTCAAATTTTCTATTTTAAAAAAACCACCTTACTGTATCTCTAGGTATGGTAGAGCTTTCTAATTCAAAAGCAATGAGATGGGCCAGGGATTTAGCTTAGCAGTTCCACTGCCTGCCTCACAAGCACAAGGTCCCGAGTTCAATCCCCAGTGCCAAAAAAAAAAAAAAAAAGCAATGAGATAAATCACAAGAATAACACTGCAAGATCTGACTATGGAAACATTTAAAATTTGTACACACCAAAACTCCAAATAAACCAAATTAAAAAGTGTCCAACACACTGGGAAAAAATATTTGTGATAAATATGATAAAGGGTAGGAGTCAATTAAAAACAACAAGCAAAGGAAAAAAATGGACAGAATTACAAAAGAAGTACAAATGGCTCCTAAATATTCGAGAATGATGGGACCTATTTAGTAATCAAAGAAATGCAAATTAAAACAAGGTTCAATATTTTTCTAACAAAGTGGAAAACTCTAAAATACTTTAAGAATTTTCCAACCAATAAGAGTATGATGCAACAGAAATATACACACATATATTGGCACAACTTCCTAGAAAGCAATTTGGCAATGTTTTAAGGGTATTAAAATTTTTCATAAATTATAAACTAATAAATATAACCTGACAATAAAAGAAAATGCAGCTATACTCAAAGGTATTCGTGGCTGAAAACTTGGAAACAATTCAAATGCCCAGTAGTATGGAAATAGATCATGAAATTATAGTATTCCAGTATGGTAAAATATTTTACAGTCATTTACAGGGAATTTTTAAAGAGAGGGAAAATTACCTATGATATGTTAAAAAGAAAGAAAATCCCCAAATAAATCTACAATATAAATACAATATAAACAAAAGGAGAAAAAAGTAAAATGTTAACAGTGGTTAAATCCTTTGTGGAATTGTGGATAATTTCTCATATCTGCTTTTTTGTAAATTCCTTGTAAGCAACATACATTAGCTTTGTAACCAGAAAGACAGAGTTTAGTTTCAAAAATAGAAAACCAAGTTCTCTATATTAGATTATAGCAAATTAATTATATATCTCACTTATTGCTATTTCACCTAAAAAGTGATAATAACAGAGAGAGTAAAAATTTAGACCAAAACTTCATCAGTACTCAAAACTGTCCTCAAGGTAGAAATGAAAAGAGGCAAATTAAAAGAAAAAGAGCAACAAAATGAAAGCCATAAAGTTAAAACTTGGCCTGATTAAAGATCCAAGACCCTTAAATATTATTTATGTGTAAAAATATACTGTGCATATATACTTAATCAGATTTGATCATTTTTTACCTAAGCAATGGACCATTAGCAAAATAAAGTGGAATATAGACTAAATTTTTGTTGCTTCCTGCCTTCGTTCCTTGGGTACAGTACCTCTAGTATTCTGAAAGTGGCATCGCTCCCAGGAAACAGTTCAGTCTTGGGGGGTCCTTTTCTGTCCTCTTCAGAGTCTAGGCTGGGACGATCAAATTCTCTTTTGCTTTGATCATCTGATGAACCAGAACTTTTCTCATAATAGTTTTTTTCTTCTGGCATTTTTGAGAAACAGTTTGCAGCATCAGTTTCTACAAGATCCCATAATGGTTCTCCCATCTTCTCTTCGGTTTCTTTATCAACGGGAAGAATTTCAGGAAATTCCCTCAACAACCAATTACGATTCTTGAAAAACTTACTCTTATGAATCTTGTAAAATGTGTCCCAGTATTTACTAGCTTCACTTTCATATTTAACTAAAATAAAGAGAAAAAAATTATTTTACTATGAATTCTATTTACTATTAGATACTATTTTGATAACTAAATTTAATTATTTTAAATGTATTAATACATTATCAACAATTATATTTAATATTAACTTCATTATTATTATAGTAATTTAAAAATTTTTATTTATCTGATAAAAGGTTCAAACTACAAAGGTTTAATTTCCTTGAAAATGTCTCTGTTGCTGGAAGTTGTAGTACATGCCTGTAATCTCAACACTTATGGGAGGCTGAGGCATGAGGATCACTGCAAGTTCCAGGCCCGCCTAGGCTGCATAGTAAGTTCAAGGCCAGCCTGGACTACCCTGTCTCAAAAAAAAAAGTGTCTATGTGTGGGATGTGTAGTCCTATCACCATAAATCTGCCTTTATCTTATAGATTGGCCAATCAATTTTTGTGAGGAATATAATCACTGTGAACAACTTTCTACAGTTTAAATCTTGGAATCTTAGCAGTTACATTTTCCTCAATAATTTGTGTGGCTTTTTATTATCTCACAGAAAGTATACCTCTTTTTTTAAGTCTCTGCAAATACAGTTGAGATATGACAAATGTGCAAACTGCTGATCAGGAAGGAAATTGCAGAATTAGAAATGACAATTTTAGAGCTAGAAGATTCACTGAAAATAGTCTACTTCAAATCCCTTGTTTTACATTTGAGGAACCTGAACCCATTTGTTTCTGGATCTAGAGCCCCAATCACAATGGAACCAGATGATGTCTCCTGACTCTTGAAGCACTGGGGTCACAAAACTATTCTTCCCCAACTTCCAAAGGCGTTTCTTACTACTGATTTCTCCTAATATGAAACCTTAAAGAGAATTACTGATGCTTTCTTAAAACAGTCAAGCACTTTGTGATGTCATCTCTGGGCCAAGGCCAGGGTTAGGTTATTTGTCTCAAAGCTTCAGTCAGTTCTCAGCCTTCTGCCTCTTCCTATCTGTACTTTACAATAATAAAATAATTCACTCTCCTTCATTCATCCAATATTCATTGACTCCTATTATGTAAAAGGCTAATCCCTAGACCTAATCTATGGATCAAGAATTACTTTCACTCAGGGCAGGGGATTTAGCTCAGTGGTTCTGGCGCCTGCCTCGCAAGCTCAAGGGCCGGAGTTCGATGCCCGGTACCAAAAAAAAATTACTTTCACTCAGTGTAGACCCATGGCATTTTAAAGTACTTTAAAGAATGCAAAAGCTTTCTAATGGATATACAATAATTTCCAAGATTTAGCGTTGGAATGGGGAAGGGAAGTATAGAACAGCATATATATTATGAAACTTTTCGTTAAGGAGGAGAGGAGGAAAAAATAGGAGCGTGTACACATAGAAACACTTACGTATGTGTGTGTATAACCACATTGTAGAAAACACCTCTTACAGGACAATCTCCTAATTAGTAACACCGCCTCTCAGGAGGGGGATGGAACAGCTGGGGACCACAGTTTGAAGGAGTGTTGTTGTTTTGTTTTTTTTTTTGGTACCGGGGATCGAACTTGGGTCCTTGCACTTGTGCAGCAGGCGGCGAAACCACTGAGCTAAATCCCCGGCCCATGAAGGAATGTTTTCATTTGAACTATGATCCATGTGAATGTACTACCTTTTCCAAGACTAAATTAAACCAAAAACAAAAAGGACTCATTTCTTTGAAAATTTTACAGACGCCTCTACCCTCAGAACAAGCAGTTGCCTGCAATCACGTTCATCTTTGTTATAGAGCCCTGTCCTGAAGCCCTTATAGCTTTCCCTTCCTTCTTCCCATTTTCATCCTTATAGCCTTGTACCATAGATCTCCATCCACGTAGCCAGAAGACCTTCTTCCCATCAAAGCTGAACTGTATCTGGCAGCAGGTCTGCTATAAAGACAGAAACGCCCATCTGTATTTAAAGTCTGAGAAATGAAAGTGGGTATATATAAGAAAAGAATTATGTGATGTTAAGTCCAAAACATGTTCTGTACTAATAGAAGGAAGTCTATTCCTGGTTTACTTAAAAATGTATATTTATTTTGAAAATAGTTCTACCTTTACTTTTAATAATTTTATTATACCATATATTAAAAAAAAAACAACATTCTGAAATTAGGACAACATCTGAAATCAGGAGAAATCAGAAAGCTGCCAAATTCTCTAAGGGCCTTCTTGAACAGTCTTTTCTTCCTTTACGTTAAAACTTCTCTTTGTAACTCACTCCAGGCAGGTAAAAGATTTTAGGCCTAATAAAAAGTAGCCAGAAGACCTACATTTAAAGCTAAGAAGACCTAATGCAGTCAAATCTTTAATATTTGGGTTTCTAACAGTAAGGTGCTTGTGAAGTGAATTTGAGCCTAATAACTAGTAAGTAGAATTTAATACTATACCTGATTAATTTGTGGGTATAGTCCCTTAACAATTAATCAAGGGTGCTGTAGGGACTGCAAGGGAGTAACATGCTTTTTAAAATGTGCATAGCAGCTCTACACATAAAAGAAAAAAGTGGCCAGGTGTGGTGGCACACACCTGCAATCCCTGCACTCAGGCGGTTGAGCCAGGAGGATTATAAAGAGTTCAAGGGCAGCCTGGGCTACACAGTGAGTTCAAGACCAGCCTGAACTACTTAGTGAGACCCTGTCTCAAGATACCAAAAAAAAAAAAGAAGGAAAAAAGTAGCAAATAACTCAAATCCCCAAAGACATGAAAATGAGCAAGCAAACTATGCACGCTGAAACAAGTAAACATATATCAATTTAAAAATAAAGGGTAATATTAAGAGAAAACATTCACACAACATTAAAGACACTAATGACACCTCTAACATTTCTACTCCTTTATAAAAATCACAGAAAATCTGGAGGAATGGTAACAAATAATGATTATTTGGTAGTTCTTTCCTGTCTCTACACAAAAATAAAGAATCTTGGCTGAATTCTTCATCTTGCCTACAGAATTTCCTTACTTGATGAGGAGATTGAATTAGAATTATCTCTACAGTCTGTCTAAGCTCTAAAAATTCTATGCATTTTCCTATTATACCCCATGAGTCTGTAGAGTCAAACAATATCAGTTCTGCAAACTATACAATCTTGGGTCAGATTTCTGTTTTAAACATGAGCCCATACTACTGTTCTGACTTTCATAATTTATAAAGAAAGTTAATCTATAGTGATGTAACTGCAATCTGGATCAGATAACAAATATATCAAGCATCTAAATTCAGCTCTAGATAATGCAACCTTTATTGAACAAGGACTTGATTACTTTTAGATGACAATAGTCAAGTTATGCTAATATATACTTTCAAGCCATTTTCAAGTAATTCTCATTCAAAAATGAAGAGGAAAAAAAAAATCAAACAATTACATAATATGCCAACACCAGCAGCAATAAAAATAATAACAACAATAACATATTGAATATTTATTATGGGTTAAGCATTATGTCAAATGCTTGACTTGGATTTTTTTTTCCCATTCAATGTTACTAATATCACTCAGAAAATGTTACTTCAATTTACAGACAAAAAAAATTCAAGGTGAGAAAGGTTAACGCTTTCCCCAAAGTCACCCTGTTAGAAAGAACAGAATCAGAACCTAGACCAAGTCTGTCACACTCTAAAGTCTGTGCTCTCAACCATTTCACGACACCATTTTCCTACACAAGGTCAACATGAACCCCCACCACAATCTCTCTGAAAGTAACTTATTTTTCTGATTCTTACTTTCCTCTCAGTTATAAAGCATCAAGGTGAAATTGAAACCTCAATGTGACTTATAGTCAGTGTAAGTAAATTGTAAAACTAATGCTGATTGGAGTTAACTTTCATTAGAATAGTTCAGAAACACAGAATTAATTAAATCCTGTTCTTTGAATCATATAAAACATAAACCATTCAAGATTATGTGATGAAATTATGATGTGTGATAGAATTAAAATGCTCTATAAGACAGATGAGCTCATGGGTCAAAAATGAAACAGAGAAGGAGCTGCACCAATGGGCTAGAATGTGTGTGGCCTTTTAAAGCGGTGGTTTCACCAGTATCTCCAATCAATGCTGGCCATTTCACAGATCCCAGTACTGTGTGACAGCTTCTGAGGCCCCACAGAAGCTTAATTAAACTCATAATGATGAGCAGGAAACAACAAACACCCTCAGTGTGTGATTTAATGTCCTGAACTGCATGAATATCTGTGATCACAGGGGATATGGAGGAATTACTCCCTGCCCTGGAGTGAAAAAAAAGAGTCCCAACCTGTTGTCAACTCACTACAAGTTCAGGTCAATAATGATTAAAAAGGTATAGTATGGAAGAATCTGCACTGTCTTGATCTTGTCTGACTGCCTAACAGGTATATGAATCATTAATTTTTCTTAGAGGAATTTTTTTTCCTTCCAAAGTTGCCAATTCAGAAACAACTGCTCTATGCCAATGGCAGTAAAAGGGATGTAGTGATCTGTTTAACCATAGCCAGATGAAGCAACTTCTCAATTATTCACTTATTAAATTTAATAATGCTGAGAGAAAGGAACATGGCACACTAACTCTACTTAAATATTCATAATTCACTCTGAATCACCCTGAGTATCATAACTAAAAAAGTGAATTAAACCATTTATGTATCTGGCATATATGATATAATTATGAATTAGGAAAATTTATTCTAAGTTGCCATGTAACAAAAAGCAATTTGAAGTTATTTTTGCACATCAATTACGCAAATACCTGAGCTTTCAAAGTTGGAAATTTCCACGTCACTGATGAAGTTCACTGTCTAATAAAAGAAAACTCTTAAAATTACAACATTAAAAGTATATTGCTAAAGCATTGCATGAACATTAAAGCAGCCAAAGCTATCTTATAAATGAGTACCCTGTATTTATCAGTACAAAATTTTAATCTATTTTTTTCCACATAGAACGTTCTCCTAAGTGGTAAGACATTCATTCACAAGGTAAAGTACAGTGAGACTTATTATTTTGCTTGACATAGATAACTTACCTTAGGTAGGCTGTTATTTACAAGGATATTTTTAAATGGAAATAGCTCCTTTTGTTGTTAAGTTTTTAAAAACCATTACATTTGCTATACAACTGGCTGAGATACAACACACTGGAGATCTTTTTAGGGAATTATAAAATATAATCATGTTAACTCAGAAACTGCCAAATGTATCTTTCTCATTTCTGAATTAACCTGCTTTTAAAAGAAATATGAGCTATAATAAAATTGAAAAGTAATTATGAAAAGGAAATGTGAAATTAAAAATCATTAATCTGGGCAATCTAATTGAAAGAAATATTGCCAACGAGAGCCTGGATGCTATACATTTTAATCACAGAAATGAGATGTCAGCCCTGCTGCAGCAAAAGACTTAGTTGTGATGTGTAAGTTCTCATTTTCAGATTCTGAGAGTGTTTCCTAACTTGGTTCTCATCAATAGCTAAGACAACAGGTAAATAATGGGAGAGGAGAGTGACAAGAGAGAGAGAGCTACGAAGAGACCAAAAGCAACGTGTTGGAGTTGGCTGGCACAGGAGAGCAACCTGTATTTCCTCCCAGTGACATTAATGGAGATAAGGTCAATGAACATTGCACCTGCTATATAATGATCTGCATATGGAATACTTTGTGATGAGAGAAAGGACTCTCCTAGCTAAGAAAAGATGGTGGTTAACAGAGTGCTGGCAGAAGAGCCAGGTCAAGACCTCCTTTGGGTTCTCACAAGGAGTAGAAGCAGAGCTTTTAAATGACCTATTTACCTTGACTCCTATTCATCAGAAGCCTCACCCTGGGCTTCTGCAGACTGGTAAGTCTACAATCCTTGCAGAAACTGTACTGAGTGGCTCTCATTGTAACGTCCTGTCCCTTAACACAGTTCTTCAGAACACAAATTTTCTTCCTTTGCCACCCTGCTGGCAACCTTGTTTTAAGTGCGACAAAGTGGTCACTTCATAGTGTGTTCCCCCTCCTGCAGTGGCCCTCTGACACACATGAAGTCCACTGTACTGAGTAGTGTTACAGGGATACAGAGGGGCTCCAGCAGAAACCTCTGCCTCTCTGAGTCATTTTGAAATGGAATCTTTTGTTCTGTGTCTTTACAGCAGCCAGAAATGTTCCTCAGAAAAAGACTGGACTTACTAGTAAGCAAATCAAATGCCTCAGAGTGGTACCATCAGCCCTCTCCTGCTTGCCTTTCCTGCTTTTATAGACAGGCCAGTCACCACCTTTCTATTTTGGTCACACTATGGTTCTGTGGGAACTGTCATTTTCTTTTTCTGCGGTTTCCGAGGCCCTAAAATAACCTTCTCATTAGCTTCACTCAAGTTCATTGTTAACATAAATAGGATAAAATAGGCAGTCACGTACAGAGCACTTTCAGAGAACATTATCAGCTCTGCTCATCTACAAGTATTTATGCTCTGAACAGAAATATTCAAAAGAGGGTGAAAAAAATCCCTGGTTTTTCATATTATTAGGAAATACACTGTCTATAATTTTAACTTCCTGGAAATGAATTAAAATGACTGATAACTTTTAATTCAGTTCAGGCTTGACTTTCTTTGTCACATCCAGGTGGCCACTAGCAGAAGCTTGAGTAATGTGGAAAATATGTCTGTGCAGCTGCTGGCAAAGAAGCAAAGTTACACTTCCTCAGAAACTGTGTGACAGAGTTCTTGCAAAGGAATGCAATGTTGGCTGATTTGTAGGCAGTACTGCCACTGGTATGCAACCTCAAATCCAACCCTAACACTTGCTGGCCTTTTCCACTCTGGGATTGCATGGCCGGAGCCTGTAAAAACAGAAAGGTCCCACTGTGGAGCAGGTGCCCTTCTCCCCTGTCCATCCCCCAGGACACACTAATGCTTAGGCTGAGGAAGGAGAACCGAGTCTAAGGAACTTCGATGCTCGAGGATTATGAGGTTATCAAGATAACAGAGCGTGGGTCAGCACTGCTCCCTTCACTAGGTAAGGGCCACTAATGAGGGTTTTCTTACTAGTTCAGGCTTCCCTAATGTCTCTGCTTCAAACTTCAGTCTCCATTGTAAGCTAATATCACTAGAAAAACAGTGAACTACTAGTGCATTAGTCATTTTCACTTTGCTTGGCTTACACAGAGGAATGCAAACATTTTTCCCTGGGGAGTTTTAGGATAGTTGATCAATGTAGGAATAAATATGTAAACAAATACCAGTAAGTATTTTAGTTTCTGTGAGACCATAGAGTCTGTTGCAACTGCTCAATTCTGTGTTCCAATAAAACTTTATTTATAAAAACAGACACCAGAGGGTGGGGGATTTAGCTCAGTGGTTCCTCAGCCTGCCTTGCAAGTGCAAGGTCCCGAGTTTGATCCCTGGTACCAAACAAACAAACAAACAAACAAAAAACAAACAAAAAAAACAGGAAGCAGGCTAGATCTCGCCATAGGCTCTAGTTTACTGGCTTGTTTTACTCACAGGTTACAGTGATGTTGCTATAAGGATAACAGAAAAAAGATAATGAACAGTACAAAGGTATTGCGGCAATCTAATCCATGGCATTAAAAGCTGGAATAGAGGTTTTTTTATGAGGTGTGAGGGGTTTGAGGAGTGCTGTAATCAGAAATGAGCATAACGAAGCTCCTAGGTTATTACTGGTAATATTCTGTTTCTCAATGTGGGTGCTATTCACACAGATGTATTCAATTTGTGAAAATTCACTGAACTTTGTTAGGATTCATTTTTGAATTGTATAAATTTGTCTACTTGGTCCTTCAATAAATTAATTTTTAAAAATAAAGAAAAAGAAACAGTATGTTCTGAACATGAAGTTGTTTTAAGAAAAGTAAAGTGAGGGCTGAGGATTTAGCTCAGTGGTTCCGCTGCCTGCCTTGCAAGCACAAGGATCCGAGTTCAATCCCTGGTACCAAAAAAAAAAAAGAAAAGTAAAGTGGTAAATCTCATATAGGAGCTAGCACAGTGCCTTTGGGTTCCTACATATGTACAGAGAAGGACATGGGCTTCTTTCTCTCATTTCTTTTTTTTTAGGGGATGTATGTATGTTTTTTTTATATTGCAGCAAAAACACATACTATAAAATTTAACATTTTAAGCATTTTTAAGCTTATAGTTCAGTAGTGTTTTCACATAGTTGTGAGACAGCTCCAGAATGCTTCCATCTTGACAAACTGTAACTTGAAACCCACTAAATAACTCCTTCTCCCCCTGCCCCTTAGTCCTTGGCAACCACTGTTCTACTGTTTCTGTGAATTTCACTACATTAGGTATCATATAAGTGGTATCACACAGTAGTATTTGTTCTGTGATTGCCTTATTTCACTTAGCATGATGTCCTCATCTATGTTGTAATATGTGACAGGACTTTTTTCCTTTTTAAGTGGGAATAATATTCCATTTTATGTATATACCACATGCTGTTTATCCATTAATCCAGTGATGGACATTTAGATTGCTTCTGTTGCTTATCATGAATAGTGCTGTTATGAACATGGAAATGTAAATATCTCTTTGCAATCTTGCTTTCAACTTTTTGGATATAACACAGAAGTGAATTGCTAGATCACACTGAAGTTCTAATTTTAATTTTTTGAGGAATCTCTGTACTGTTTTCCACAGTGGGCACACCAATTTAAAATCTCAGCAAGAGTACACAAGGGCTTACTCCTATGTCTCTACATCCTTGTCATTTTCTGGTTTTCTGACAGTAGCACAGGCCAATTTTTTCAAAACAATGTTGGCAAGGGCTTACCTGAATCAAAGTATAAATAAAAGGTCTCTAAGAAAAGTGCTTTCAATCCTTATTAAAACTTTATCCTAAAAGACTAGCGACATTTTATATGACTTTATCTTCTTCATTCAAAGTTTATAAGTTTGCTCAAAGTTTCTAGCAAGTGAAATACACAATAGCATTCTGAAAGCAGTATAGCAAGAGGAAAATTTTAAAGTTACATTTTCGTATCTTGCTTAAAATGCTGCCCATATGTGTATCTCCCAGAATAAGCAATATGACTACTAAAAGACCAATTATAGGGTGAATACATAATTTATTTCATTAATTTTGGTTCCACTATACTAGAAGAACTGGGAATTCGACCAAAGGGAATGAGTGGATTGATTGGCTTAGTCAGAAGTTAAGAACTCTCAAAAGCAATGAGACAGAAGAAAAGGTGATGAGGGTGTGACTTGAACCAGCAGAAGATAAAATAGAGAAGCTGGGCTCCACGAGGCCCTATCATCGGCTACCTTGCTCTTCCTGAATGACTCGCACAGCTGAGTTTTCCTCTACTTTTTTTCTGGCAGCTGCTTCTTCTTCTTTAGACCACTGCATGTGATCCCTGTTAAAAAAATAAATAAAAAGATTATAAAGCATGCCTTATAACTGAAGGCAAAAAAAAGATGGCTAGGGACTCTCTTTCATCCTAGATTAGACAAATGCAAGTGATACAAACCAATGGCATGTTAAGTGAATAGTTTTGTGTCATATGTAACTTCTACAGTTCTTCGGTTGAACTCCGGTTGTGTTGCAAGCCCCACCTACCTTTGGGAACGGCTGCTGAAGTAACATCCCCAGAATACTCTGAGGCATGATTATCTGGGAGCTGGTATGGTTTGCCATTTTTTACTCTACAGCTAAATTTATTTGCCTTTTAATTAATTTACAAACAAGGCATTCTTTAACAATATTTTAATGCTCCTTTTATAAAACTTGCATTCTAATACTCCACTGTCAGAGACATGAAAGTTTTCAAATATTTTGTATTTACCCTGCAATTTTAATTTTTAAAGTATCTTTAGATTTGTTATTAGCTACTTTAATTTCTGAAAAGAGATTCGCTTATGTTTAAATGATAGAGTACATACAGAAGGATGACTTTTCTACAATGTGGCTCTTTCTATAAGTATTTTTAGTTTTAGAATTTATCCTTCCTATATGAGAATATACTACTCTGTGTTGCAACAATGTCTTTATTGTTGTCTAGCATACATGAGCCTTATCATTGAAAAAAATCCGTATCACTAAAAAAAAGATCTCCTTAGGATGGAGGCAACAATCTATATACAAAAAAGGTGATTTTCATTTTGGTTTTGTTTTTACAAGGTTTCCATTGCCTTTTTTGTACACATGAGTAAAACAACATCCTGAATTTTCTGAATTTCCATTTTTTGAAACAAAAAAATCCCGAACCCCCTACATTCAAGTTCCATAAAGCCTACTGGTAACTATTAGAAAACATCTTAACACAGTTATCATATGACATTTGTAGTCACGTGATGTATCAGTCATATGACTGATGAGACTAGATAAGATAAAAAATTTTTGGATTTTCATGTCAGTCATCATTACGGTTACTGACCAATATTAAACAAGCAGGGCCTGGGATTTAGCTCAGTGGTGCTGCACCTGCCTTGCAAGTTCGAGGTCCTGAGTTCGATCCCCCATACCCAAAAAAAAAAAAATTAACCAAGCAGTTGGCATGATCATAATTACTACCATTGACTATTTATTACATGTCAGACATTGTGCTAAACACATTTCATACAGTTTTCTTTTTTTTGGTACCGGGGATCAAACTTGGGTCCTTCCACTTGCGCAGCAGGTGGCGAAACATACATTTTTCTTTTATTTAATCCTTTCAGAAATCTTGTGAACGTGTTCCAGTCATGCTTATTTTGCATATGAGGAAACAGAAGTTTAGTAATTCACTCAAGGTCCTATAGTTGAAGGTGGCAGAGCAGAATTCAAACCCAAATTTATCTCATCAGAATCCATCTCATCAGTCACTAGTCTATTATTATCTAGCAACACAGTGGGGTAGAGATGTAAGACTTACTCCTTGCCCATCCAAGGCATATGTTCTTCTAATGCAGGCAGATAAACAGAAAGTAAATGATAAAACAGTGCACATGCACTGTTAGAACCTGACGAGTGGGACTGTTGCCAATTAACACTTGGGCTCAGGTTGGGGAAAGGTGGTGGGGCAATTACTGTTGTCCTTAAGAGACTGGCAATTAGGACAGCGTATACAGGAAACAATGAAGAAGTCTATTTTGATTGGTTCTCTTGGGGAACTGCAGATGAGGCTGGGATTTGGGTAACAGTCAGATTTCAGAGGATTTTAAATAGCTTAAAAGAGATGACAAAGCAAGGAGGGACTAGAGGGAGATGGATTAGAATGTTGTGGTAGTCTGGGAGTAATGAGTCACAGGACTAAGGTGGTGGTAATAGAAAGCAGAAAGGAACAGTTGGGGGAGACACTGAAAAAAATTGTAGTTATGACTTGGAGATAACTAGATATTGGAAAAGAAAGTGAGAGCTGCCAATGAGTCCCAAGGTTTTATCACTGAGCATAGAGGAAAGTGGGGTAGCAATGACAGAATAAGGAGCTGCTTTGGGTGGAATGATGAGAACTTCGGTTCTATTTTAAGTTATGTTTATGCAATCAAATGTAAGAGGGTATATTCCAGTGACCTAGTTACATAATACACTACTGAAAGGTGAGGAACTATTTTCATTTTTAAAGGATTAAGATTGGTACACTGGCTCTCCAGGAAAAGCAAATGGAGAATGTAAAAATCAGAGTTCAACAGATAAAAATCTAACCAGTAGTATTTTTTAAAAACTGCAATCACTTAGAACCCAAATAATCATTAAGCAGCTTTGTCACTTGCTTTAATGAATTAAATTAGAATAAATTTTTGTTTTGACTTACTTTAATATATGTAAGTAAAACCATATGAACTGGGGCTGGCAACTACATATTGTGTATGTACATGACAGAAAATCAGGGAAACAATGAGAGTATATGTGGTCTTCAGCTTTAAACATTTCTTTTAAATTGTTAGTTTAACTTATCACTTCCTAAGGATTTAATAGATTTGGTTATTTCTTAAATTGCCCTGACTTCCTTAAACAATTTGTTACTTCATTTTCCTAACTGTGAAGTGAAGGAAATATTACACCCTAAGCTCCTGCAGAACAGATTTTCCCACTGTACAGTTACAGAATCCCCACAGAAACCTATAAAATGTTCCTCCTATATTTATGGGAACTTCCTACAGACCGGCTGTTTTATGGCAATTCTTTACATTAGAAGAGTCTGATTCATATAAACTGAAACCCCACCGCCAGCAGTAAGAATTATTCAAGTTTTTAATAATAAATATAACAATAGAATTTAAGCACAGAGGCAACTAACTAATAAGCAAACTGAAAATAATCAGATATTTAACAACAACAAAAACCAAAGGAAAAAATAGTTCACACTGTTGGGCCTATGAATTGCACTTCTTGGAATCTATTGTGAAAAAGTAACTCAAAGGAATAATGAAGTTCTGTACCGAAAAATATTTGTACAAAGATAATCATTAGTACACTAAATATAAAAACAGAAAATTGGAAATAAACTCAGTGATGGGGAATGAAAACATCATAGTAACTCAAAGGAATATTATGGAGCCATTTAAAGTAGTAAATATGACTACTATGTAGCAATGTGAAAAAGTATTTATGAAATAACATGGTTATACACATGTACAACTCACAAGGAATGTAAACAGTATGTATTATACTCGTGTACTAATAAACTAAAATAAAAAAAAAATAACATGAGGTTAAAAAAGCAGATTACCAAAATGTATATGTATTATAATTACAATTGTTTGAAATTATTATATACATTGAATAAAGGCTCTAAATGGTGAAATAATTATTAAAATAGGATTAAAAGAGAACTGTCTTGGATGTGAGGGCGGTCTGGCTGTGACGTCTGTCACCCCATTGATCGCCAGGGTTGATACGGCTGATCTAGCTGGCGAGGCGGGTGTCCCCTCCCTCCCTCCCGGTTCCATGTGCGTCCCTCCCGAAGCTGCGCCCTCGGTCGAAGAGGACGACCACCCCCAGTAGAGGACCGTTTCCTCGGTCAAGGGTATACGAGTAGCTGCGCTCCCCTGCTAGAACCTCCAAACAAGCTCTCAATAGAGAGCTGGCTTAAAATTACCTTAACATTGTAAAGATCCTTCAACTAGAGATAATTTTTAAAATAAATTTTATTTTATCCCATTCCCCCAGCAAGCCTCCTCCCCTCTCTATGTGTAAAAGCTTTGTTTCCATTTTTACCTTGTTTTCTCTTTTTTCTTGTCCCTCCTCCCTTCTTTCCCTTCCCATTTAGAGATCATTTTTTTAAAAATTTATTTATATAAAACTGTACTTTAAGTCATGTAACAGTGCTCATTAAAACTTATCCTTCCTGAGGGAAAACCCAGAAACCCCTGGTTTGTTTTTTTGTTGTTGTTTTGGTGGTACTGGAAATTGAACCCAGAGCCTTCACACTGAGCTACAACCCTGGGCCTTTTTTAATTTTTCATTTTGAGACAGGCTCTCACTAAGTCACTGAGTTGCCCAGGCTGGGCTCAAAATTGTAATCCTCCAGCCTCAACTTCCCAGGGTGTTAAGTTTACAGGTGCAGGCCATCACAACTAGCTGCAGCAATCCCTTTTTATTTTTTGGACAAATTTATTACTGCAATTTATTATATCCTACTTGAAAAAAATGTATGGTCCTCCTGGTCTTCAGTAGGGGGGCATTTATCGCAGTGTATTTTATTTATGATGAATGTTGAAAAATTACTATCAAAAATGTCTTAGCAGTATGAGCATAAAAAGCAAGTTTTATATGGTAAAACACCTAATGTGTATGCACATAATAATGATGCTCAATATCAAAGAAAAACAGACAATATATGTACTTGATATAACTAGTAAGCATTTTGGGACACATGAAGATATCTTTTTAGGACATGAAAATCTTAACATCTGTTGATCTACAAGTTGTTTGAAAACAACCTAAAACACATATACAGCAACCTTTTAAAATATACATCATAATAAGAAAAAAAATAATCTATCTTTCATTACAAAGAAAAGGGAGAATATACAGTAAGAATACATATAGAATCCATCTGGAATTATTCAACAATAATACAAAACAATATACAAGAATTTATTTTAGTACCCCATCACCCATTAGTAAATAGAACATAATAAAACAAAAATCCCAAGAAATAAGAATAAAAAAATATTCATGGAGCACTCAACCAACTGGCAAATGAAGAATATATTTTAATTCGCCCATGGATCCAAAATGGTACAAAACATATCATTGCATAATTTGATTAAAAGATGCAATTAAATTCCCACACTACTGCTCACATCAAAATACAGAATTAAGTCAGCTCAAAATTTCTTCTTTTATTTTTTTTGGTACCGGGGATTGGATTCTGGACCTTGTGCTTACGAAGCAGGCAGTGGCACCACTGAGCTACATCCCTGGCTCTCAAAATTTATTCTTAATAGTAAACCGTACAGGGCCGGGGATGTAGCTCAGTGGCACCACACCTGTTTGGCAAGTGCAAGGTCCTAAATTCGATTCCTGGTACCAAAAAAAAAGACAGTAAACCATACAAATACATAATCCAGAGGTCAACTTTAAGAGTGAGTTCCTCATGAAAACACTATTCTATACTTTAGGATACTTCATTCTTGTAGTGAATTTTTTTAGGGAATTCTGAAGAAATAATTCAAATTGAGTTTTCGTATTACTTGTACAGATTTTCACTACATGAAGAATTTTCACAGAATTCTGAAAATATACTTGAGTATGCTGTATATTTACAGAGATTTGATGCAATATACATATTGCATGTAGTCCAAATGCAGATTTGTGAACATCCCATCTATTCTTGGTTTCACACTATACTGTGTTCTTTGTAAGCATAAATGAAACCAAAATGACTAGAGTTGTTCCCATGAAATATATATTAATAAAAGCCACCTGCACTATTCAGTTCAGGTTAGCACACAAGGTCATGTAGAAACAAAGGTTTCCCACACTCTGTTCTTATGCTTACTCTCAATGTCAGTTCTTTCATGCTTTCTGAGGTTTTGTGGCATCATGGAATGCTTTCTCTTAGTGCTTCTTTAACAGAATTACTCCCAGGGGCAGTTCTTGCATGTATTTTAAGGTAATTGGAAGTATTGAAGAGTTTACCACATTGCTTACATACACAGGGCTTCTATCCTATGTGAATTCTTGGATGGATTGAGTATGCTGGGGAAAATGAAACTTTTCCTACATTGCTTATATATGTTCAGATACTTTTCACTGACTTCTTTCATGTAATGATAGCTGTTTACGGATATTCCATATTGCTCAGAAACAGAAATTCTGTCTACTGTGAGTCCTCTCATGTCAATGTGAGTCACATCATACATTCAGTTATTGTGCAGTGTCATTTTTTATGTTTGAGGTGATTCTTGACATGACTGAAGGCATTTTCACATTGTTCACATACACAAGTTTTCTTCTCAGTGGGACTTCCTTCATGTTTATCCCTGTGTCCTAAATGTTTTCCCACACTGAATATACATACATAGGATTCCTATCCAGTATGAATTTTTTACTGTCTGTGAAATGAACTCATTTCATTGAAAGTTTTCCCACATTGTTTACATACATAGGGTCTCTCTCCACTGAGTTCTTTCATGATTTTTACAAATACTGTGTCTACTGAATGTTTTTCCATATTGCTTCCCATAGGGTTTCTCCCCAGTGTGAGTTTTTCTATGTACTTGAAAACTATGTGTGGTGAAAACGTTGCTTACATACACTGGTTTTCTGTGAGTTTTCATGTATTTGATAATGTCCATGCACAATGAATGCTTTCCCACATTGCTTACACACATAGGGTTTCTTCCCAGTGAGTTCTTTTATGTACATTAAGAGAACTGTTATATGCGAAAGCTTTCCCACATAGCTTACAAACATAGGGTTTCTCCCCAGTGTGAGTTCTTTCATGTCTTTTGCAGTGAATGTGTGTGCCAAAAGTTTTCCCACATTGCTTACATACATAGGGTTTCTCCCCACTGTGAATTCTTTCATGTGTTTTGCAGTAACTGTGTCTACCAAAAGCTTTCCCACATTGCTTACATACATAGGGTTTCTCCCCA